TACTGCAGAGCTATTATCAAGTTGCTTTGTTTGTTTGAAGTTAAGCATAAAGCTACACAATGGGCTATCTGTGCTCTGCCCACCACGGGTATCGAAACCCGGTTTCTAGCGTTGTAAGTCCGCAGAAATGCCGCTGTGCCACTGGGGGGCTATCAAGTTGCACGGTCGTTGAACAGAGCATGACAGGACGTGGCGACATGGACTGTAACGCCGATGGAGGTCAACAAATCGTTTTAATATACTCAACCTCTGTGATCAGCTTTATTTATTAAAATATTAACTTACTTCATGACTCAGGTTCCGACTATCATGCCTTACATACAGATATAAAACACTTTAATAACAAAGTACGATAAAAAAACAAGATATTGACCAAAAAGGTTTAAACACGTTTTCTTTACGGTAATAAAACTAAAATAAGTCCTTTTTTGTGAGGAAAACGAAGCAACTTGTTCTATTTATTCACACGTGGAGTAACCATCTATTCCCACGTGGAGTAACCATCTATTCGCACGTGGAATAACCATCTATTCCCACGTGGAGTAACCATTTATTCGCACGTGGAATAACCATCTATTCGCACTTTTTATCTTTACTTGTTTAACTTTCAACTGTAGCTTATTTATCTGTTGAGTGATCTGTTAAATAGAGATTTACTTTGTCCTACACTCAGCTCACACTCATGAGTCTGTTTCAAATAAAATATCATTACGAAAAGGTTATGTCTAGGGAACGAAATACAAGGTGCAGTTTGATGTTTCCAGACGTAATTAGCCGAGGTGATCGAACATTAGCGTACTCCGCTAACTTTAACAAAACGAATAACGTGATGTTGTCTCTAGACGTAATTAGCCGAGGTGATCGAACATTAGCGTGCTCCGCTAACTTTAACAAGACGAATAACGTGATGTTGTCTCTAGACGTAATTAGCCGAGGTGATCGAACATTAGCGTACTCCGCTAACTTTAACTAGACGACTAGCAGATACATTTAGAACGAGAAACTGAAATGTTAGAGGTACTTGTTTCAATAATGCCCAGCTAGTGTCATCAAGCAATTAAGGTTTCGATCATCTCTTGCAAATCACTGTAGGGGGCGCTAGTAAACTCAAGGGTATTCTTATACAGCTTAACCTGAATACAATTAATTACCTATATATATATATATATATATATATATA